ACCTATCAGATAAAAAATTGCCCCCAAATTAGGATTTTAGAACTTGAATGAATCATAATATGAAGACATAATAAGTGAATGTATATCACCTTCCTCATTAAGGCCTCCGCCTCATCAACCTTTCCAGCTTCACCAAGAGCTTCGACTTGTTCCAAAAGTTTCTTGATCTTCTCTTCTAAAACTAAGAGCTGTTCAGATTTTTCAGATGGAATCGGGGGAGGTGTTACCTCAACCTCCTGGGCTAACCGCTCACGACCACGCCTAACTTTTCTGTCCAAATCCATCACCTGGACAAAGAATCCCCAAATTCTGAATCAATAACTACCACAACTTCAACAAGAAAAAGCAAAACTAAAACTCTTGTTACATACCAGCTTCTCACAAAACTCTGCGAGTTCGGATTCAAATCTGGGGACATAGGAATCATGTCTAGGAGACTGCTCAAAACTGGCATGCACAAACAAACATGATTACGGAGAATGAAATACAGCCAGCTTTCTTGGTGACTTGTTCTCATATTATAGTGTGAAAAACACGAGCTCAAAATTGCTTAACATTCACATCTAATAGATACAAAAAAGGGTATTGCTGACAAAATAACGTCAACAGGACTTCTCAAAACTGAAACATATGACATAAAAAAGTGAACACCCAAGTAAAGAGAGCTTGGAGATTATTAAAGCAAAAACTAAATTGACTAATCAAAGGATGGAAATTGCAAAAGGGACATACTAGTTAAAGAAACAGATTACAGAAAATATTCATCAAGAAAATTTTGAAAACTTTATGGAAGGTTGCATCATGCCACAGAAGAGAAACATTTTGCAAATAATGAAAACATATTATTTCCTCATCATTGTAGTTATTCACTTATTCTTAATCGTTTCCTCTTGTCCTCTTCATGTGGCAACATGGGAAACTTATATTGAACTAATCTCACTCTTTTCTCATCATAATTAAGTAAACAGGTCAGTTCTCCATGTCATTCGTGACCACGGAAATTTTTCCTTCTAATTGAAATATATGCCTTATCCACATTTTGATGCTTCATCATTTAACTTATTTTCGCAACTCTATGACTGAATGATAAATTAGCATGGAATTTCTAGACAATTCTGCACCACGATCAGGATAACTGGAAGCTCCATTATCACCATTTTCAAGTAAAACTAGAATCATCTGTCTTTATTATGTTTTCTAGATACATGTGTGTGTTTTAGTGTGCACGCACACCAAATTTCCAGCAATGGATGCAGGAATATTCAGTTCAAGTATAGTACAAGACAAGCAAGCGACAAACTAAAACAAGTAGAAACTAAATGACTACTATAATGGGGAAAAGACAGAACGTATGGCACTAAGAAATTGCGTACCAATCCATACAATAAGAGCTCCACTATCCGATCTTATTGCTTCATTAGCAGTATTAACTTTTACTTTTAGACAGAAGGATGATTGTTGTTACCTGTGTTTCTTTGAGGATTTGTATTCTATATCCAAAAAATGCTTGGGAAGGCACACTTCAATCAACTGACAAACATCTAAATTGCACTTTTACTCAGAGGCCGTTTCAAATATTTGTATCTAAAAACCATGTCTTGTCTAAATGTAGTAAATTAGTATGAAAACCCAAAGACGGGAATTATTACAACTCCCCCCTCGTGCCCCAAACAAAAATTTGTCAGAAAGCAATGTATTAGTTACCTCAAAGGATTAAAAAACAATGCAATATCCAGGAGAACTCCAAATGCCAGAAACCCAAATTAAGGTTTCCACTTTCCTCCTACATAAGACATACAAAGAAGCTAACTTCAAATATTCTTTACTAGCTATAAACTATTTATTATGATTATGCACTCACTGCTCAAGCCCACTAATAAATCATCCCAATCATGAACATTAAAAAAGTATTGCATTAATCACATCATAGGATTGATTTAAACAACACGTCAAATTTGATATTACCTTTCTTTGAGCTTCAGATCGTGGATTCTAGGGCACGGTCCTGCGGGGAGGAAAAAAAAGGAATAAACTTTCGAAGAAGAAAAAAAGCCCAAACAAATTCATAGAAAGCCAACTCGGAGATTGAAGAGCTCACCGAGATCGCTCTTGGTGTTGACGAACAAATCGTGAGGGCAAAATCGAACCATGAAAGCTCCGCAAACCTCCTTATCGTCCCATCGGATCTCCTTGAAACCTTTCTTCTCCTCCTCCGTCAGATTTCGAGCTGCGAACATCAGTAACGGATTAATCGATCTAACAATTGAAAGATCGAGATCAAGATCGAGATCGAGAGAGAAAGGGAGCTTACCAGCTCCCATTAGTTCGTCGAGGGCTCTCCTCTGCGCGTCCATGGCGGATTCAATCCCTAGAATTGAGGAATGAGGGTTTCGGGGGAAGAGAGAGAGAGAGAGAGAGAGAAGGGGGAGAGAAAAACCCTACAAGCTAAGAAAGGATAAATAAGCGTTTAATTAATTAAAAGAGACTATTCGTAGAGTTTTGAGGGTTTTATATATAAATAATCTGGAGAGAGAGAGAGAGAGATTTTGCTTCTTATTTGTGTCTGATTAACTTATTATTTTGGATTAAGGCCTATAGTAGCTAAACTAAACTAAGAGAAATAGAGGGTACTTCCGAGCAAAAAAATTTATGTTTGTTTCCCTAGTTTTAATATCCTGGAAGTAGGTGAAATCTATTCCTTTATTTACAAATAGAAGGAGCAGAGAATTCTTATTACGCTACAGTAAAATAAACGGTAACATTATTACTGTAGAACACCGGAACACTGTAGCAATTTCAAGAAAACGAGATATCGTAGCAATCCCAGGACCTTAAGATTACTGTTATGAACAGTAACACTATTACTGCAGCATACCGGAACACTAACACTTTCAAAAATGTGAGATGCTGTAGCAATTCAAAAACTTACTGTAGCATTTAAAAAACATGATTGATTAGCATGAAAAAATTTATAGTCGTGCTTTGCACGGACCGCAAACTAGTATGCATCAATTAGAAAATAAATAACTTTTCTTATTAATGTTTCCCTTATCAGTTACTTCCTAACAACTTTTCACCGCTAACCAAATAAAAAAATTGAATGAAGAATGAGAACTACTGTTTCCACTACTTCAAAAAAAAATAAATATTACTTCTACAACTTCCTATTTCATAAATTTAAAAGTTATTTCTTTGATCTATTTCCTACTTTCAATACTTCTATCAAACCCAAACCAACCCTAAGGCTTTTTTCTGTATTAATCTCTCACATTTAGTTAATTTGCAAAATTCTCACAAATCACATGACTTGCTTATGAGAACCATCTAGCGAAACTCTAGCTACATAAATCATACACTTCCACTCACTTCTGATGAAAGCTACGATACTCTTCCACTCACTTGATACTCTTCCACTCACTTCTGTTGAAAGATACCTCCTTGCAAATCATAGGGCTTACTCTTATATCTTCCGATTCGTGGTGTTGTTTGTAATTAATCTCTCACCGCTTGATCGGATGTACTTAAAACTTTAACAAGATCTCGAGTTAAAAGAGGTTCAACATATATTTTTCAAATTAGTTTATCTTCTTCAAGTCTATTTCTTGTGTATCTTTTGAAACTAATAGGTTTTTTTTTTTTTCTTTAAGTCGTCGAATGCACATTCTCATCCAAAGTCTATTCTCACTTCCTAAAACAACAAGCGCTAGCATTCAAGTTTCAATCAAACTCAATTCGAGAAATCCGATATCTTACATTCTACGGGGATTTTGTTAATAGGAGCTCCTGTTTTCTTTCATGTGTGTGTGTATGTGCACATACATAATACATTCCAAGAAAAGACTTCAAGTAGAAGGACCGAGAAAATCCGATAATAAAGAGTTGAAAGCGAAAGAAAATGACTGCACATCAGAGCTCACAAATATACTAGGGCTCTCCATCACCAACATCCTCAATCCTTGCAGGCCAAGGATCCGATACCAACTTACTTGCATTTCGAAAACATGAAGCAATGACCGGTTTGATCATGGTGCCAGCTTCTCAACATTTTAGAACAACCAGACCCAACCCTTTAGATCAGACAAAAAACAGTTTAAATCAGGACTTTTACAAATATGCTTCGCTATATCATCAGATGCATCCTTAACTTGTTGCAAATACACAAGAAGGTCAACCAGAAACACACCTCGATTACCTCAAGATCGTCTCTGAATCCTCACATCTCTACCAGCAAACCAAGCAACCCTCATGAGCTGAATCCCGAAAACCAAAACCCACCAAGAAACCAACCCTCGAATACTCAACATTATCCACTCAGGCGCACCAATCTCAACTCCTAGCTGCAACCCTCGCATCAATTGCAACACTCTATACCCCTCATAAACAATCGGAGTAAGCAGCCACACGGGCGACTTCCAGTGCCATGTCAGTGTCTCCGTCAGCACCTGCGTCGCTAGAAGCAGGAGATAGGGTCCAAGCAACACCAAAAACGAAATGGACAGTAGCTTTGGTTGAAAATAGCCTTTATGCGAAGCAAACAACATTAATAAAGGACCAATAAAGCCAACGAAACTTGCACACAAATTCCAAAACCTGTAACTAATAGGAACTTGACTTCCATTTGATGATAAGTTTATTCCTCCTCCTTTAGGCTTTGCACAAGAATCAGCCATGAGAAGAAACAAAGTCGCTCCCATGCTAAATATACAGTCTAGACCGACCAATGAAAGGAGTCCAGCAACATTGGGACCGAGAAATACAGAGGAAAGAGGCAACCAAAGAGTCGGTACCATACCCGTTATCAATAGAACCGATGGACCCAGAAGCCACATTGGCCATTTAAGCGGTTGATGCTGAGAAGTTTGCTCACTTTTTATTTCAAAGACTGTTTCTTTACTCTGGACATTAGATAGTTCTTGAAAGTCTTCAGTATCAACAGAATCGACAATGTTACTTTGCTTGATAATGCTGTTGTCTTCGTCCTCGATGGGGGTGTAAGGAGATGATGCTTCCCAAGAAAACAGTTTGGAGCAAAATAAAGGTAGAGCTTTGAGACGATGATTGACGACTGTGGGTTTGTAAGAAGGAGCTAATGCTTTTTGGAACCTTGAACTGCAGAATTGGCTGTTGATGATAAAAGGCCTCTTTGTGAGAGATGCTGACAAAGTTAAGGAGGCCATTACTTTGCAATTGGTAAGTGTACTATGTAGACGTTCAGTTCATCTGGCAACAAGTTGATACAAGTTCAGCGTTATCATCAGAAAATTCCTAGTAGTACTAACCAGCATGATTAAATACTACCTAAAGAACATATAAAAGAATTTCATCAAGGGAAAAAATTTAATATANATGTGTATCACGTACATCAACATAGATATACTTGCCCTGTGTCTCCTGGTTTAATAAATATAGTTATCATAAGCATACATGAGCATCATCTTTGTGCACACTGTGGTGCAAGGAAATGTGGATATGCATGATCTTTATAGCCAAAACTGCCAAAACTAGACGATGGGAATTTATTATGTCAATATGTTGGGAGCATAACCGTATCATATTTTATAACCAAAACCATTTCCCGTTGCTAGGAAGAAAACAAGCTCAATAAGTGTTGCTTACCCGAAGTTTCCAACAAGCACGCATCTCAAACTTTTAGTCATCAATCAATCAGTCAATTAATAATCGTTATAGTTCTTATATTTAAGTGTTTCATGCGATATTTAAACATAAATACAAGCATTGCACCTTAACACCAATATAAGGTGTCAGCCATGGCAATAGTTCTCTGAAATCCAGACACAATAACACAAGTTTTGTACATTGCTTTTTTTTTTTGGGTACAGATGTATTTATAACTCAAGCAAATCTATGCAATGAGCTGCTACTGATATATAAAGGCCCTGAAACAATAAAGAGGACATTGGGCATGAGTTGGCACCTCATTTAGCACAATAAGCTACCAAGAGATAGTACCAGTCAAGGTACATCTACTCTGATGTGACTAACAGGGAGTACCTCACCACTAGTCCATCTCTTCGTAGCTCATTATGTAAAATGAGCATTCCCTCAAACCTTTTTTCATAAAGAAATGATCTGTAACCAATTGGATGCCATAGGAGCATAAAACACATTCTCCTAGTAAATATTCTTGACGTGACCAACGGTTACACGCTTGCAAGTATGGCCTGGATGGATACACGCTTCCAATCACGTCACATACACCAATATTGAGTGGAAGGAAGTCTACTACATGTTATCAAAAGAAAATAGGTGGCGGGATGAATTAAAAATACGATAAGCGATAAAATCTAGAGTTTAGCAGGATAGGATGGTGGACATGTGGTTGTGTAAGTTTCCAAGAAGAAGAATATCATGAGATAAGAAATAATGGCTGTTGCTGATGGAAAGAAACTAGAGTGACAGAGAAGTGATATAGAGCAGTACAGGCGAAAAGGGAAGATGAGCAAGAAAGAAAATATATTCTCAAGCAAACCTCCTGTATTTCTCCCACATAAGGGTTGTAATGTACTTTTTCACAAGCCTCAAATTTAAATCAACAAACTCCTAGTGGCACACCACACTAGCTGATGTAGTCAGAGCTACACCCTCAATTTGGCTTTCAATTCCACGCAAATTCCCTTCTTTGGCTGCAGTTGCATTCTAGCTTTCTAACTACTATCAAACTGCAAAAGGGACTTGTTAACAACTTCCAATTTTTTTTTTCTCTGAGAAACTAATAACTCCAAAACTAACTCAAAACATTTAATTAAGAAGAATAAGAAGAAGAAGAAGAAGAAGAAGAAATAAAGAAACTGAATTGAAAACAAAGCAAATCAACATGGACCTCTGTCCAACAGCAAACAGTCTATTAAGGCAGATAATTGCCAAGGTTCTTAGAGACTTAGCAGACCAGAATTCCGTCAAATTACTGAATTCCCCACCCACCCACCCACCCCGTGCCCGTGCCCCGCTTCATATACATCCAGATGATCATAAGTTGTTAAAGAGCCTCTCCTTGTTGTTTCCTTATAAATCTACTCCTCTATACAAATGGGAGAACCCAAGATTCACTATTCATACTACACTAAACGCTACAGTATTATTTATGGTAACAAACACGAAACTGGATATTGTTGTTTTTTCGAAAAAATATCACGGTAACACACGAGAATACTGTAGCAGAAGCGAGATTAGGTAGCAAATATGCCGTGCAAAGCCGCACGGTGTTCACACTAGTATTAGTAGTCGTAAATCAATATCTGCCGATTAACTTCGTCAAGAATTGGCATCCTCAGGATGACCAAGAAAGAGAAATCTGTAACAACAGCTTAAGTGTTATTTTACATGGGGGACAAAAATGAAGGTTTGCCTACGCTAACCAATCAAAATCAGTTTCTTTGGCGGCCCTTCTATCAATTCAGTGCTAATGGTATTAGCTCCGATTATCAGGGTTCCTCAAATTATTCACAAAATTAAACTATAGGGCGTAATCCCTACTCTTAACTCTTCTAATTAATCTCTTCAGGGTCAATGGAAACTCAATTACGAAGTATCCTCCTCCTCCTCCTCACCTCTGAAGTGCTTCTCTGCGCTTTACTAGAACATAATAGAAAAAAAAAATAGCTTGACGAGCAGCTTGGAGCAATATAAGCCTCACAATCTCATTAAAATTGTAATTTCTTTTCTTCATCTTAAAATCGACCCAACTGATCGAAGCTTCGTTTGCTCATTTTGCTGGTGATAAAAGAAAACCCATCACTTATTTCGCTCGACAAGTAAAATCTTTAGCAAAATAACAAAAAATAACAAAAAATCCATATTAATTACCCCAAAAAATCTAATGATAATAATTACAATGAAAATTTTCCGCGGGGTACCTGGTTCTAGTTCCTTTGATCTGGGGATCCTCGGGCGCTACAATCGGAAGAAGACTCGATGACTTGAAGAATATTCTCGGCGACCCGAAAATGAATTTCACGAAGAAGAAGAAAAAACAGAAGGGCTAAAAATCAACCAAATTGGCTGCAAACGTTATGGCTTATTTTATGGGCCTCTACGCTGTATTGGGCCAAGCTTTTTGGATGTAGATCAGGCCCACAACAGCGTAATCTGTACGCAATGTGTGATTTATACGCATATTTTTTTAAGACGTATTTACAAGTATTCACATGGAAACCACCTTTAATTTGTACCAACTTGATAGAAACCACATTGCATTAAAAAATTTTGGTAGAAACAACCTTTAAATGGGATTTCTATTCCTATCTCGTCACACTTTGCGCTCATGTTTGCTTAAAAAAAATACTATCTTTACCCATAATACCCTTACAGTGTGTTTGGGAGCCTGTTTGGATTTGTAGGGGGTGAAGGAAAGTTAAGGGAAACTAGATGAGAGAATGGAAGGGAAGGAAAGGGAGTTTCCTTCCCCTTGGTTACACCCCAATTTGGGGGGTAACAAATTTTATATTATTAGGGGGTGAACCAAGGGGAACTAGGGTGAATAACTTCACCTCCTAAATGTTCCCAAACAAGGTGAATGGAGGTGAATGGTTCCCCTAACTTCTCTTCACCCTTATTCCCCTCAATCCAAACAAGCCCTTAGGGAAGAGAGGTGAGGGGAAAAGTTCTCTCCCGAATTCCCCTCTTCTACCATCCTAAATGGAACTCCCAAACAAGATTAAAATTAGATCTCTCTGCCCTCCATCCAAACAGGCTATTAGTGAGAACTATACAATAGCGGCAATACTCGGAGGCCAACTAATATGTGGACCAGTAGCAGGAGGCAGTTGTAAGTACTAAGCTTTGATTAATAATAGGCCAGGATTAATAAATTTGTGTTGAAGATGTTAACGAAGAAGTCCTTACTATGCTAGCAAGCAACAGCTTTAAAATGAGAGGTATAGCCTTCGCCCTTCCCAATCTTTTTTGTTGGTAAACAGTAAGAATACACCTACCTTTTGGCATTTAAAATTTCTGGTAGTATTCAACACTAATGTCAGGTCGGTTGATACCATGCACATGATCTTGATCCCAAAATTCATGGGATGAACTAGATTTATATATTTTGGCGATCTTGAGGTATGCTGACCACATGTGACGTGTGTTTTCGACCGTGAGACTAGCCAAGATCAACGGCGGACGGGCTCAGAATTTTGTCTCAGTGGTGTCCTCAGATAGCTTAACATAGTCATACTTGGAATCTAGATAATTTTATATATAGGTTACCCTCACTAGTGGTGTACCTACTCTATTATTGTTGATGTCCTAAACAGTAAATACAAGTAAAAGTAAATGAAAATACATATAATGTAGGATATCCAATGGTGTCGCGTGTTATCGTTGGACACTTGGGCTTAAAAGTATCAAATTTACCGAGAGAGGCTGATTTCACCAGGACATATTGGTCTCCTTCCTCTAAGAAGCCAATTAATAATGTATGTATTTAGGACTCAGAAGAGAAGGCCATATGAAATCGTGCACATATATAACAAAACCAAAACAACAACATTAACAAATCCTTTTCTAATTCACAAAACCCCTCGCATTTATTTACATGAAAACTCTTTCTGATGATCATGATCATATCCACAGCTATAAGTAGGAAGAAAATGAGGAAAGAAGAAATAAAACACTCATTAATTAATTTATGCTGGCCAACTAATTAAACTTTGCTGTTCTCCCGTCGTGAAAGATTAGGACGGTCCTCCCCTTTCCTCCTGGTAACCCGAATGTAACAAACGACGATTGCCAGGACCGCAGTCGCAAACCCCCCGAGGATAACTTCGACTCCTACCATCGATCCGGGAGGAGGAGAGGGCGGCTCTGTGGGGCTAAGAGGCCTAGTAGACGTTGCGAGTGTAGAAAGAGAGCAAGCCATATGCAGGCATATTAGGAGAAGCCAGCCAGCCATGGAATGGTAGTAGCTAGCTCGGATGGGAGAGTGTGATTATAGAGAGGAGAGGGCTCTTATAGGGAGCGGCACGATGGTCGGTCGCATTTGAATAATGTAGGCGTGCGTCTAATCAACGGACTAATTTAATTTTATGTTTGTTGAACTTTGTTGGTGAACGTCGAAGGAATCCAAGAAGACAGCTGTATCATCCAAAGTATTTGGCAGGAATCTGAGTTTAGGCTGATTTTGACACGAGAGTGCAACGCGCTTCTGCTCTTGCTGTTCAAATCCCGCGAGCGCATCGAAGCTATTTGGAGTAGTCGTCAGCTTGCTATTCGGAAAGCTAAGCCTTTTTGAGGCATGGATACTATTTATTATTATTTAGATGCGAGAAAATGCAGTTGTCAGATTTGGCTTGAAAGTGGTCACAAGGCGTGGGCTGGCTGCCCATTTAAGCATGGATCAGGGCCCACAAGTTTTGTTTCCTAGCAGTTTTTTTTATATTTTTATTTACCTTTCAATTTCCATCCTTGACCCTACCAGAGAACACCTCCGGCCTGATGGAGGATAATTTTGTAACTAAAAAGGGTTCTTCCCTCTAAAATGCCACGTGATACGTTTCGGCTACATACATATATGCACATTTGCAAGTATTCGCATATACCCACCCGGTCATCATATTTAATATTCAATCAGATGCGTTTATGATTATCACCCTCTACCTTTTTACCTTTCGTTTTTTTCGTATTCATCCTTGTTATAGCTTCTTGATTTTGCATCTGGGGCCTATTTGGCAACCTGCTGATGGAAGTTAAGCCAGCTCAGTTTTTTTTTTTTTTTTAATCAGGCCAGAATTGAATCAAGTAGGAGGTTGTCCCATTTTAGCCTGATGACTAAGAGGCTGAAAGATGAACTAAAGTAAATTGGGCCATCTCCGGCCTAACTTTTTCCGTACACAAACCTATGCTCAAACCGGACCATATTTGAACCTGACCCGGTTTCACTGGTTTGCCGTACATGCTCATACTATTACCTAGCTTGTTTCGATAAATACGAATCTGCGTCCCCGAAGGACTACTAGGCCACAACTTTCTCCAGTTATGTTTCGCCATCGGCGATGGGTGCAAAAGGCCAAAGCCCAGTTCATGTAACAGTAGCACACACAGACTACACCGGCCTCATGTGTTAAATAAAAGTTGCCGTTTAGACACTAATTATCATGAAATGTAATTTGATAGGTAATTGAGATCGAAAAACATCAGATTTCAGATAATGACTCATAATAGAGATTAAATCAAAAATTAAACTGAGTTAAAGAACATAGCCTGTTGATCGAAGCGTGCTAGGCACTGTCCCAAGAATCTAATTGCCCCCTCTCGTACATGGCTACACGGCAATGATTCTCGTCAGCACGAGTTTCAAGAAGGCTTTGCGAATTCTTCGTAGACTTTCAGGGAATCAGCCAATAACAGTAAGAAGAAATTTTTGGAAGAGAAGAGAGGAAATGAAGCACACAACTGTTGTAAGCAGGTTAAGGAAAAATAAACCCCCCCCCCTCAATTCGAGCTGCATTCGTGTCCGAAATGGTCGGTACTTCGTGGCGAACTTGCGCACTCCCCACCACCCAGCACGAAGCCTGTTCGGCGATGTGTGCTGTCATCTCTAGTGTGGGCAGTAACCCTATTGCTTCTTAAGCATAGGACGAGAAAAGGTTCCGAAGGACAGCGCTTTGATATATTACCGCCAAAGATCTGAAGACTGCAGAGGAAATAAGTGAACTCACTCCATGATACAAAGTATGGAAATTCTGTCTTATAATCTCTCCCCGGATCTTTCCGTACCCCCCAAACCTAGAGTAGCTTATGGTGCGGAACGTACAAATCGATCCTGTTCATCATGGTTCTGTACTGAACTGAGCAAAATAGGGTCACGCCTACCGTCAGTAATACGATTAATCGCTGCATGGTCTACTTACCCCAAAGCAGTTACCCGGATCAAATGATAAGTGCTGGCTATTCGCCGCCCACCAAGCGAAACCCGTCTCTTGGTCCGCCCTCCACGACAGTTTAAAGTTTGAAATAATTTCCATAAAGAGCGTTTGCGCAGCCGGTATGTGAACCCCCATGGAAATGAAGGTTTTCATTGAGGCTGATGCTTAGCCGCATCCAAGCACGAATACTCGTTAAGAAACTATGTTAGTGTAAAGCTCAAATCAATCTGCGCGGATTTCTTCGAAACATAGTCAAGCATAGGAGAGAAAGGAAACGGTTATAAACAATTTCCTTTCTCATCTCCTATCCAACGTGGGACTAAACTTTCCCACTTTAAGAGCAAGTTTTAAGATGCAATTCCAACATCATGTTGTTGAGTTGTGGCCCTAATTTAAGTTTTTGCTGTCTGAGGAGATTTTTCCAGAATTATGTAGTAATTTAGCCATTTTTCGACATTGTATTTTATTATGACCGTTACCAATCCTGGTATGTGAAAATGAAAGTGATGACCCATGAATGGCAACACTTACGTATGCAAATTACGAGCGATATTAAAATTAAAAACATATTACAAACAAAAAGGATACGGTTACGGCCGGTTAATGCCATAGAAGCAAAAGACAATAACTTTACTCTATCAACACTCACGCAGCTTCATTACTCACTTCTACCACCCAAAGATCGAAGCAAGCAATAGGAGCCCAAATGAGCTGACACTGAGAGAGTTAAATGCAAAAGCTGGGTCGCTGGCAAAGGCCATCAATTTCTATCTATAGATTCCAGTTATTAATTAGCAGTATTATTATTATTATTATTATATTATGATGATGTATTTTCGTAAGAAAAATAGTGAGAGCACCCACCAGAGTACATTGATTTACTAAACGTCAACCCACTACAGCTCATTCTCATGAAGTTGAAACTTCCACCAACCTAATAAAAACATGGGGAAGGATTCCAATACTTGAAGCTGACCGGGTCTTCATTGGGCCTCCAAGAATTAATGCGTTCTTCAAAAAGACTTGGTTTGGATTCTATCGGAAGTCGGTGTTCCTGGAAACAGTCTCGTGCTTGGTTCCTGATCTCTCATCTATCCCTCATTTGGTGTTTAATCC